GTCTCCAAGAAACGTGCAGGGGCTGATCGGCTGCTGCGCGCGGACGTGGTCCAACATGTTGTGAGGCAGTAGGGTCTGGCCGGCGCGATCCTTCATACACGTACTGAAACTCTCCAGCATGTCGACGATGAAGTGGCCGCGACTGGGCTGCTGGCGTAGCTGAAACCACTTGCCATCACCGTCCCAGCATGCCCTCTTATTCTTGAAATCCACGACCATCCCGAGCTCCTCCATCACTGGCCTGGCAAACAGAAATGGCGTGTGGCCAGGAATCACATACGTGAGAATCTCCACAAACTTGCCTCCAGGGAAAGACGGGACAACTGCACACGCCGTCGCCTCACCGGTCGAGTCGCTGCCGTACCTGAAGTTCTTGGAACGCAGGAAAACTTTATCTTGCTGACTGGAAATCCTTTGGCGGCCAGCTGCTTGCAATATCCTCTGAGCGTCTCGTGTCCCACAATAACGCTGGTCGCCCCACTATCGTGCATCGCCTCCGACGGGTTGAGCTCGGTAGAGTTGTGCACGTCCTCCGCCTCGCCCGTGACCATCCGCGCCTCTGCGGAATCGTCGCCGACGTTCTGCCTCTTCCTGCTCGCGTGGGGGCAGTCCTTGGCGAAGTGACCTCGAGCACCGCATCGTAGGCATATCGTCTCTTCTGTCGCTCTCGGTGGTGGGTGAGGTGGTCCACGGCCTGCTGCGCCCTTTCCGTAGCTGCCTGCAAAGTGGTTCTTGCCACGTCCCTTCGAAGCCGTCGCACCTCTCCCTGTAGCCCGGCCTCGGGACGCGCCTCGCGCCGCACCTCGACCTCTGCCAGCGGCAGGGGCCCGTGAGGGTATGATAGCTCCAGTGCTCCTCGTCGGTGGCGGCACCATAGCTACGACTGGGTAAAAACCTCTGGCCAACCTCATGTCGTTCATCTTCTGTCTCGCGTCGGTGTATGCTGCCATTATCTCATCGTATTGGTCTACGTCGTACGCCTGGTCTGGTACGGGGGGGTTGTTCGTCAGTGTCTCGCTGTAGTAGGCCGCTTCCGAATCGAAGCTCGGGCCAATCTCTTGGTGGTCCTCGCCGTAATCATCGTAGTAGTGCTCCTCGTCGTCGCCTCCGTAGTAGACGTCATCCTGCTCGTCGAACTCCTCGTAATCGTCCAGGTGGTAGGCGGCCGCTCCAGCACTGGCTCGAGAGCTTGGCATCGAGTCTAGCCCAAACGTCTTCTTCAGCTCGCCCTCGACCTTGTCCAGTGAGAGGTTGTCGCCGACCTGGTTCATGATGAGCTGCTTGCCCTCTTTGTCGAGCCCAGCCCTCCGTAGTAGAAACCAGCCGAGCACTTTGTCGGGTAATATCACGTCGGGTGCTCGCACTTTCCGCTCTGATGTCCGAAACCTCGTCAAGTAGTCAATCAGAGTCTCCCTGGGCTTGCGGGCTGCCTTGAAGAAGAAATTCTCGAAGTCCGACGGGAGTTCCGTAATCTGATCATATTTGTATGCCCTGTCGAGCGCCTGGATGATGGTCTGCCAGCCATTCTCCTTCTCGATCTCGCCGATCTCGATATCCTCGACCACCTCCCACGCTCGGCCACACAGGCCTTGCATTATCTCGAGCCCTACTCCTTTCTCCTGCTCGCGTCCGCGAGCCCTCGCCGCGAAGATCTCCACCTTCTTCCTGAAAGTCCTGTATCCATCGATCGAGCCGTCGAACTCTGGGGCTCTGCCGATGAAGCTCGTCGCGGGCGGCTGTGCGTCATCTCGTCCTGCTGCTGCTGCGCCGCGTCCCCCGCCAGGCGGTCCCATGGGTGATAACTGTGGTCCGTGAACAGATCGCTCCAGCTACCAATGTGAATCGGTCGAAGCACTCTAAGTCTTCAATCGTGATCGAATCGAAGTCCGAAACCTGCCAACTTCTCCTCGAGCACCCTCGTCCACAATCGCTCTGCGTGCAGGGAGGGTGATGATAGCGTTTCTGGTCAGTCGAGAGGCCTCTCGAGCTCAAACGGCAACAGTGCTTGCTCCTTTCTATCATGCCTGCTTTATACATGCTGTCACGCTGCTGGGGGGAGAGTGCTTGCTCTAACATATTAGTCAGAAACACCTCTGCAAACACATTGTACGGAGTGCAATTCACACAATCCAGTCAGCAAACTTATTACCAAGGATGTTTAATATGTCTTTCTCGCTCGTTATTCGTCGAATCGTCGTCGCCTCCTCCTCCTCCTCCGCCTCCTCGTCGTCGTCGCCATCGGCATCACCGCCAGGGAGAGGCTCGAAGCAGATGGCTAGAGTAGGAGATCGAAGAAAGGACTGGGTTACCACCAAATAGTTACAATATTCGCCGAATCGTCGTCGTCGCCTCCTCCTCCTCCTCCTCCTCGTCGCCACCGGCATCACCGTCAGGGAGAGGCTCGAAGCAGGTGAACCGAGTAGGAGATCGAAGAAAGAATTGGCTCACCCCCCAAAAATAGAATAGTCGTCGAATCGTTGACGTCTCCTTTTCCTCCTCCTCCTCCTCCTCCTCCTCCTCCTCCGCCTCCTCGTCGTCGCCATGGGCATCACCGTCAGGGAGAGGCTCGAAGCATGTGGCTCGAGTAGGAGATCGAAGAAAGACTTGGCTCACCCTGAAAAATACAACATTCGTCGAATTCTGGTCGCCTCCTCCTCCTCCTCCTCCTCCTCCTTGTCGTCGCCATCGGCATCACAGTCAGGGAGAGGCTCGAAGCAGATGGCTCGAGTAGGAGATCGAGGAAACAACTGGCTTACCGCCAAATAATTACAATATTCGCCGAATCGTCGCCGCCTCCTCCTCCTCCTCCTCCTCCTCCTCATCGTTGTCGTCGTCGTCGTCGCCATCGGCATCGCCGTCAGGGAGAGGCTCGAAGCAGATGGCTCGAGTAGGAGATCGAAGAAAGAACTGCCTTACCGCCAAAAAATCACAATATTCGTCGAATCGTCGTCGTCGCCTCCTCCTCCTCCTCGTCGCCATCGGCATCACCGTCAGGGAGAGGCTCGAAGCAGGTGAACCGAGTAGGAGATCGAAGGAAGAATTGGCTCACACACCCCAAAACATAGAATGGTCGTCGAATCGTCGTCGTCTCCTCCCCCACCTCTTCCTCCTCCTCCTCCTCATCGTCGTCGCCATGGGCATCACCGTCAGGGAGAGGCTCGAAGCAGGTGGCTCGAGTAGGAGATCGAAGAAAGACTTGGCTCACCCTGAAAAATACAACATTCGTCGAGTTTTGGTCGCCTCCTCCTCCTCCTCCTCCTCCTCCTCCTCCTTGACGTCGCCATCGGCATCACCTTCACGGAGAGGCTCGAAGCAGATGGCTCGAGTAGGAGATCGAGAAAACAACTCGCTTACCACACGAAAAACTACAATGTTCGTCGAATCGGCGTCGTCGCCTCCTCCTCCTCCTCCTCGTTGTCGTCGTCGTGGTCGCCATCGGCATCACCGTCAGGGAGAGGCTCGAAGCAGGTGGCTCGAGTAGGAGATCGAAGAAAAGAACTGCCTTACCGCCAAAACAATACAATATTCGTCGAATCGTCGTCGTCGCCTCCTCCTCCTCCTCGTCACCATCGGCATCACCGTCAGGGAGAGGCTCGAAGCAGGTGGACCGAGTAGGAGATCGAAGAAAGAACTGGCTCACACCGCAACAAAAGCATGTTCGTCGAATCGTCGTCGTCTCCGTCTCCTCCTCCTCCTCCTCGTCGTCGCCACCGGCATCACCGTCAGGGAGAGGCTCGAAGCAGGTGGCTCGAGTAGGAGATCGAAGAAAGAATTGGCGTATCCCGAAAAAAAATACAACATTCGTCGAATCGTCGTCGCCTTCTCCTCCTCCTCGTCCTCCTTGTCGTCGCCACCGGCATCACCGTCAAGGAGAGGCTCGAAGCAGGTGAACCGAGTACAACATTCGTCGAATCGTCGTCGCCTCCTCCTCTTCCTCCTCCTCCTCCTCCTCCTCCTCCTCCTTGTCGTCGCCATCGGCATCACCGTCAGGGAGAGGCTCGAAGCAGGTGGCTCGAGTAGGAGGTCGAGGAACGAATTGGCTCACCACACGAGAAATTACACCATTCGTCGAATCGTCGTCGCCTCCTCCTCCTCCTCCTCCTCCTCCTCCTGCTTGTCGTCGCCATCGGCATCACCGTCAGGGAGAGGCTCGAAGCAGATGGCTCGAGTAGGAGATCGAGGAACGAATTGGCTTACCACACGAAAAATTACAACATTCGTCGAATCGTCTTCGTCGCCTCCTCCTTCTCGTTGTCGTCTTCCTCCTCGTCGCCACCGGCATCACCGACAGGGAGAGGCTCGAAGCAGATGGCTAGAGTAGGAGATCGAAGAAATCACTGGCTTACCGCCTCCTCCTCGTCGCCTCCTCCTCCTCGTCGTCGCCTCCTCCTCCTCGTCGAATCGTCGTCACCTCCTCCTCCTCCTCCTCCTCCTCCTCCTCCTCCTCCTCCTCGTCGCCATCGGCATCGCCGACAGGGAGAGGAGAGGGGCGGGCGCAGCGGCGGGCACGCTGCGCAGGCCTTCGCCAGGGTCCGCCCGAGGGCAGGAGGCGCCGGCAGGAGGAGAGAACTCTTCGAGAAGGACGCAGATTGATCGTAGATCTGCTTGCACTCTACGCATCTTGTCGTGGATTCGGCGGGAACGCTGATTTTTGGGCAGATCCAAGGGCTCCCAACTTCGCGCTTCGCGCTGCGCGAAGCGCGAAGTGCGAATGACTTCGCGCTCTCGCGCCGCCTCCCAGGGAAGAAGGGAAGGATAAGGAGGAATCGGGGCCGAACCGCGAAGCGCGAAGAACTTCGCGCACTCGAGGGCGCCCTTGTAGATCCGCTGTGCAGCCTTAGGTCGTGCAGGTGCTCCTACAGGCGGGTTCCGAAAGAAAAGTAAACACTTAACACAACAGTTCAAACAAAAATCAAACGAGCATAACCAATCCTCCCCAGACTATATTTGTCACTGTTCTTGCATTGATTCCTCCTGTAGTGGGACATGCCCGACTAAACTGTAGTCGATCTCCTGCTCGACGGATGGTGTGCTGGGCCTCTTTCGCCAGCCGCTCCTCCTCGGCCGCCCTGGCCGCCGCCTGGCCGCGGCGCGCCCGCGCTGCGCCGCGGCCCTCCTCGTCGCCGTCGCTGCCGGCGTCGCCGTCGCCGTCGCCGTCGCTGCCCTCGTCGCCCTCGTCGTCGTCGCCCTCGTCGCCGTCGCCATCGCCGACGTGGCCGTCGGCGTCGGCGTCGTCGGCGTCGTCGTCGCCGTCGTCGTTAGCGTCGTCGTCGTCGTTAGCGTCGTCGCCGTCGTCGTCGCCGTCGCCTCTCGGAGCGGGGCGGGGGCGGTGCGCTCTCGGAGCTCCCCGCGTACCCTGCGCCCCCCTCTCGCGCTTTCGCCGTCGCCGTCGTCGTCGTCGTCGGCACCCTCGGAGCCGTCGCCGCCGCCGTCGGCGGCGTCGCCGTCGTCGTCGCCGTCGCCGTCGGCGTCGCTGTCGTCGTCGGCGTCGCCCTCGCCGCCGTCGCTGCCCTCTCAGGGGCCCGCCGCCGCGGCCCGCGCCTCCTCCCGGCGCGCCTGGGCCTCGCGCCGCTCGCGCTCCTGGGGGCAGGAAGCGCTGCAGCAGGAAGTGCGTTCGCGTCGGTGGGTGTAGCACGGCCCCGCGGGCAGGGCCGACTCGTTTCCAATCGTCCCCCGTCGTTCCCACCTCCAGCCATCTTCCCGTCCTGATGCCGCTTCCTTCTCTTTGTCTTCCTCCTCCTCCTTTCTCTTTGTCTTCCCGTCCTGATGCCGCTTCCTTCTCTTTGTCCTTCATCGTCCTGATGCCGATCGGCGCGGGCCCTCGCACCATGGAGATCGATTGGGAACCCGGGAACCCGGAACCCACCGATATCGGCCCAGAACCAATAACCAGGTTAACCCGGGAACCCGGATCCGGGAACCCGGGAACCCGGCCGGCTACCAAAATCGGCAAGCCCTTCGCCAAAGCTTTCAATTTCCGCTGTAGGACCCCTTCAGTGCAAGCACTGATTGGGGAACCACAAGAAACCTTCCACAAGAAGCCCAACCCTGAGACCTCAGGACGTCCATGGACATTTGTGGTGCAGAAGCGCCACGCCATCGGAACCCACGAAACCCAGGGCACCCAGGAGGCAAGAAGGATGTTTCTCTTGACATGGGTTTCCACTGCACGCGTCGGTCAGAAGAAGTAGGCGAAAACATGCAGTAAGGAGGCGGATCAAGTATGTCGGTTCAGGCCCCCACGAGAAACAGCAAGAGCAGATCAGTTGTGGACAGAGGAAGGCGCTTGAAGCAGATTGGGGCCCGGGGATCCTAAAATACCCAATTGCAACGACCAGCGTGCAGGGTGGGGGCCAGCCCGGGGGGAGAAGCATCGGCTCGGAATCGGCGACACATCGCCCAGACCTCGGCGATGGGCCCCCGACAGCGCATCCGCACAGTCCTGGGCGGGGCGGGGGCATCGGGCCCCTATCGCCGATCCATGGGCGATTGCGGGACGACGCGTTCTCCCCACTGAGCCTATTTGAAGGGGCCCACCAACACACAAATGAACACACAGAAACAAACAGCTTCCCCTATCTTTTCCTATATATATATATATATATATATATTCTGGGTTTTTGTCTTCCCCACCACTTCCCATGCTTTCCCATATCTTCTGGGGGATTGACGATTGATCGTGTCTGTGTGTTTTTTCCCTTCCTGCCTCCTGACTCCCCTCCCGCACGCCGCCTCCGGGCCTTCGGGCCGCAGCTCGGCCCTCCTGCGGCCGCTCGGCGCGCGCCGTGCAGCCCGCGCACGCCTCTCGGCAGGGCGCAGCGGCCGGAGCGCACCCCGAGGCCGGACGAGCGCCGAGGATGTCGAACATGCCCGAAGGCCCCGAGAGATCCGACGCTGAGTAGAGATAGCAGCATCTTGAGAAGCCCTGTCCGGAGCCCCGGGCCCCAGCGTTCTGCGCCATCCTTCGAACTGGGCGGAGCGACCTGCGAGGGCTCCAGGGCTGCAAGCCCGATGTGTGTAAGACAGGGCAGCCTCCGCCAGAAATGCTCCGAGGACACCTCGTGCAGACCACCAGAGGCTCTCAGAACATTCCCTGGTGGGCCTACAGGCAAACCGGGACGCCTCGCCACTGCTTGACACTGCGCACGCCCCCTCCCCCCCCCCCGACGTTGCCCCCCGGCTCCGCGGCGGCCCGGCCGCTGGCCGCCGCCTCGTCCGCCGGCGGAGGCTCGCCGGCGGCAGCCGCCTGCTCGTCGCGCGGAGCCTCGGGCACCGCCGCGGGCTTCTCCTTCGCCTTCGCCTGGAGGCGGCGATGCCCAGACCCCCATCGAGGCATGACAAAGATCACGAACTCCTCCTCATCCCACCAGCCCTCTGGGCGACGGTGGTTTGGGGAGTTTCCTCTTCCACCCCTCCTTCTTCCCCCTCGGGGAAGCGCTTGCCCCTCCCCCTCCCCCCTTCCCTGGACCTGGACAAAGGGTGTCGCGAGGTGTCGGAGCGTCCAAAACAACCTCGGCGAGGAAGCCAAAATCATTCGTTTTACTAAGGTTCTGGCTGCATTTTAGCGTCCTGAGGGGGGGGCCCTAATTAGTCACCCCCCCTCCTGTGATCGATCTCACCCAAGATGGCCCAAAAATGGCCCCCAAGGCTTCAAAAGGGTGCCCCAACAGGGCCCCAAGAGGTGGCCAGGAAACCCCAAGAGGCCCCCAGGATGCCCCCAAGAGGCTCCCAAGAGACCCCCAAGAGGTCCCAAAAGACCTCCCAGAGGCACCCAAGATGCTCCAAGAGGCCTCGGCGAGAATGCCAAAACATTGATTTGACTAAGGTTTTAGCCACATGTTGGCCTCTTGGGGGGGCACTGATGAAGATGACTCCAAGAGCGCCTGGGAGAGCCCAAGATGACCTCCAAGATGGCTTAAGATATCCCAAGATGTCTCATAATAGTTCCCACGATGTTCCAAGATGCCCCAAGACCGTTCCAAGACGGTTCCCAGTGGCCAAACAGCTCCCCCAGGAGGCCCCGAAGAGGCCCAAACGTCAGGAAATGATATGTATTCGGTTTTCTCGCCTTGTCGCTTCCGATGGCCGTCCGAGGCCTCAAGATGGCTCCAAGATGGGCCAAGAGGGCTCCAAGAGAGGCAGCAGAGAGCCCCAAGACGGCCCCAAGAACGCCTAAGAGCGCTCCAAGAGCGTCCTCAGAGGGCCCCAAGAGGCGATTGCTTGGGCTTCCGAAGGGGCAACGCTAACTAATGCTCGCTTCTTGTTTGATCGATGTCCCCCAAGATGGCCCCAAGAGCGCTCCCAAGGCTCCCAAGAGCGCTTCAAGAGGGCCCCAAGAGGTGCCCAGGAGGCCCCCGCAGGCGCCCAACAAGCCTCCAATATGCTCCCAAGAGACCCCCAAGAGGCCCCCAGAAGCTCTCCGAGGCACCCAAGATGCTCCAAGAGGCCTCCACTGGGGGACCCTTCCTCTGTGTGCTGCCCACTTCCCTGATCGAGGCAATTCCTCTCAGCATCGTTTCTGGATGGGCTGGTGGGGTTACTTTTGAGTCGCGGCCGCAGGCGAGAGCGCAAGCGACGAGTCGTAAGTCCGGGGCGCGGGCCAAGCTGGAGGGGTTACTTTTTTTGGCTCGCGGCTCCAAGGCGAGGGACTTGGAGCGAGCACAACGTCAGGGGCGCGGTACGTAGATAATTGGCGCGAGATTGCCGCAGACTCCAGCGGACAACACACGCAGCGGCGCATGCACATGCCAGGGACAAAATGCCCCTCATTGAAACGCATGTTAGCGTCTGCTGGTGACCGGCCCAGACAGCCCGGCTGGTGGGGAAGCAAAAGGCGCGGCAACCGGCAACGGAACGGGGGGGAGAAATCGCCCTTGCGGCGCCAAGCTCCAGCCGAACCGCAAACGGGAGCGAGGCCAAAACGGACAGCAACGTAACTGAAATAAGCCGCGGGCAAAACGCGAGTCCGAGCGGCCAATGACCAGACGGAACCC